GCATAATGCCATTATACGTGAGTGATTTCTAAACTTTAACCTTCTCCTATCTGTGTGTCATTGAAGCGCTATATAAAAAGAGCTGAAGCAGCTGGCCTCCACAGAATTGGAATATATAAGACAGATCAGAGAGCTGGTTATAATGTCAGAATTAAAGTGCCATTGTGGAATCTGTGGCTATAAGGGAGATCCTATTCATTTCAAATTTCTGAAATTTTCCTGATGTGAGCTATAAAACATATTTTGCAAAGGAAATAACTTAAAAATTAGTCTCAAAAAATTCCCTTTAATCAAATCAGTTTTTGTTAGTGGGAGTCAATGGGGCTTTCCTAAGTGGCCCCACAATTCCAGGAGTCTACACAGCCGGTCTCTGTGCTGCAAGACACAGGAAATCACCAGTCTCCTCACTGCGTGTTTTCCCCTCTGATCTTCCTTTCAAGTGGTTTCTACCCACCACTTAGACAGTGGCAAAATCATGAAACTGATTTACTAAATGGACTCTCTCACTTTTAGAAAAATTCCCTTCTAATTATAAAGCCAATATGCTTTTATGTTTCACCTAGTGTTCTGCTCTGGTAGATTTTGTTACATAAATCTAGTCTCTATTTAGAGGTAAAATGGTTCAATGCCAGGTTCCTCCATTTGGAGACAGTCTTAGCTGCAGTACTTACTATGTATCTCACTGAAGTACCGTTCACTGCACACTAAATTCTTGATAACACTGTTTTTATTTTCCTAAAAGAGCCTATAAATGCAGATAGTATTTTTTTCTGGTTGTTTCTGTAGAAAAACCAAGTCTTAGTAACAAAGTGATGATGATGATAATAATACAAATGATAATGATGTGCCAGATACTATGTGAACACACAGTCAGAATTTAAGCAATTTGCCTACGATTACCTACTTAGTATCTGTATTAGTCATTTTTCTCATTGTCGTGACAAAACACCCTGACCAAAGTAATTTATGGAGGGCATGACATGTCCATCATGACGGGATATGGAGGGTATGGATGTCCATCATGACAGGGATATGGAGGGCATGACATGTCCACCATGACAGTGGATATGGAGGGCAGGACATGTCCACCATGACAGGGGATATGGAGGGCAGGACATGTCCATCATGACAGGGGATATGGAGGGCAGGACATGTCCATCATTACAGGGAATATGGAGGTTATGGATGTCCATCATGACAGTGGATATGGAGGGCATGACACGTCTGTCCTGGCAAGGGAGTCATGGTACCAGGAACATGAGACAGAGGTCACATCGCGTCTGCAGTCAGGAAGCAGATGACTGCTGGACATCAGCACACTGTCTTTGTATTCAGTTCAGGACCCAGCCCATGGGATGATGCCACCCATGTTTGTGATGGGTCTCCCTGCCTCAACTACCTAGCCAGATCATCCCTCACAGGCATCCTAGAGAGTTGTCTCCTAGGTGACTATCTAGTTCTGGTCAAGGTGGCAGGAATATTGAGCAGTACAGTATCTGAAGAAGCTGTTTGTGCAAACTCAGGTTAGATACCAAGAGGTCTCTGGGGCTGACTTCATTTCGTGTTAAGTGGGGTAATGTCTTCCTTATAATCTCTTCCTCTAGGATTCAAAGATGTAGCCAATGAGCTTATTTAGCATCCTTGCCTGACAGACACTTTCTTCTGTTTGCCATGTGTCTCTCTTTAGGTCTTTTAGAGGTGGACATTCTGTTTCTGCTGTGCCCACTGCTCTTTTTGCAGGAAATCAGCTTGCTTTCATTGTCACTAACCCATCAATTCTAGAGGGTCCTTCCTTTCCCTTTCTTCAGTTTTCTCCGCCCCAGGATAACCCCGTTTTTCCCACTCATTTAGTCTTCTAACAAATATTTTTGTGTTTCTTGTCTTTGCCCTGTTGGGGTTTTTATTCTTGAGAGCAAACAGTTAATAAACAAGATAGAGGTCAGAGTCTTGTCTGGGAATGATCAAAGTAACAGGAATTGGGGCTTTTGGAGGGGGTTGTGGTACTTTTCCTGGAGCATCTATTTTATTCACCGCCATAGATGGGGGAAATAGCAAATCAAAGAAACAATCCACCCAAACCCTCCTTGAGGAACCAGTGAGTTTATTATTGGGGCCACTGCAGGAGCATGGTGAGGTGTCACTGCAGGGGCATGAGTGACCAGGGGAGCTGTGTCACTACAAAGCCCACATGAGTATGGGTGACAATTCTGAAAGCTGCATTCCTGGATCTCCCATAGGATTTGCAGATAGCATCATGAAGTCTTCTCTCCCAGCAGCTGTGTGCTGCCTAGATAATCCAGGGATGGGTCTCCTGACCTGAGTTCCCCGAGCTTTGTTAGCCTGTCTCCCTACAAGAGGAAGGCTTCAATCCTGAGGAAAGAGCAATGTAGCAGAGACTGAGCAATTCCTGTCCTGTGGCCATTACTAGGTGTCACCCCTAGCCTAGTGGCTCAAAGTGACAATGATCCTTTATTAGCTTTTGTGGTTTCTGGGGGTTGGAAATTCAGACAAGACGTGACAGGTGAGGTTTCTGTCTGCTCTTTGGTGTCTGAAACCCTGTCAGAAAACGTGACAGGAATCATCTAAAGGACAATTTACTCGTGAATCTGTCCTCTGGAGTCTACACATGTGACTCGGACTTCCATGTAGCTTTTTACAAAAAACCATGTTGCCTTTGGTAACTCAACCTTGAAAGTCAGGCAATAGCTCTTCCATTACATTCTGTGGACCAAAGCAACTTAAAATTTCCTCTCAGGATCTGGGAAGAAGAATACAGGCCCCACCTCTCAACCGCGGAGCGTCAGTGCCAGGTCGTAAGAACACATTGACAGAGCTAGCTTTACAGACTTCTATGGAGGACAGGCTAAGGGTGTGGATAAAGTGACATTTCAACCCAGATTTAAAGGAAGCAGGGGAGTGAGCCTCATGCTTGTCTCCCTGGGGGCAGGGCTGGGAATGGGAGGTGGGGATGCATTGGGAGCGTCTGGAGACTAGTGTGGGTGTCCTGGTTTTAATGTTCATTGCCCAACAATCAAAGGGAGGAGTATGTGGTGAGTGAGATGGGACACATGAGCATCTGAGACAGTGAGAGTTGGGTCTAGTTTAAATTATGGCAGATAAAACCTGAGGTGGATTAGGTCTGTTGTGTGCGACAAGGTCTAGGTGCCTGAAGAGCAGGGCTGTCTTATTCTGAGACAGGGAAGGGTGAGGGTGTAAGAGCTGTGCAGAAGGCAAAAAGCCCTTTAGTCTTAGGGGGGCAAGTTAGTGATGTTTACTGAATACTCAAGTGGAGTACTGAAGAGGCTTTTGGATAAATAAAGTGAGCTCTTGGGCTAAGCTGGACAGAACACTTGAGGAGTCACAGGCTGAGGATGTGATCTCTGAAGTCAACACCAGTGGTTGCACACAGAAGTAGGGACCGAGCCCTGCCTCCCCTGTGAAAAGGAAGAGAATGGGGTGTCTTGGAACTTAGGTGGCAAGGAGGAAGGATGCCAGCGTTCTTGGCTCTGACAGCTCCAGGTGGGGGCTGAGACCATGACAGCCATCATACAGGTATTGGTAACTATCGAGCAGTTTTGGAGGGTTGGAGACAGATGCCTAGCTGAAAAGAGCTTGCAGAGAATGGGAGGAGGGGGCTTGGATGAGAGGTTGACAGGTGGCACTTGCTGGGAGTTTGGCTCAAATTAGTGAGGACAGCACCACAGCTAGCTGTGGAACTATCACATGAGCTTTATTTTTCCAAGAGACAAAGAGCAGAGAGTGCATGTGTGCTGTACGGATGGATCTAGTAGAGAGTGGACTAGGCATGTGGAAGGGACACCTCTGGTGCCATCCTTGTGTGTGCTTTAGTGACAAGGAAGCCTGCTTCTCTAATGTGTGGGTCACATGAGATGACACAACCTCATCTAAGCTGTTCCTTTACCAGCCTGACCCAGTGGGTGGCCACAGCCATGTCAATCTTTTCTCCACTCTGCAAAGAACCCTTAATATAAGGGAATAAGTACCAACTTTCAGTGACCCCCAACACACACACACACACACACACACACACACACACACAATTAAAGGTCAGCAAGGACTATATAGTAAGTTTATCCCCTCCTGCCCGCATGAAAACCACTGCTTATATAGAAAGATACGGCGCAATACACCAAGAATTAATTTAGAAACGAATCTAATAGGATGTGTGCCATGCCTTTGTCTCTCACCACTATTTGCCTTATGTCTTTTCTATCGCGGGATTATCGTGGCCTAAGGGTTACAGCGCACTTGGATGATGGAAGACGTGTTGTGAACAGCCAGTGTTGTTAATGATGCTGGCAACCACACCCTCCTACTTGTCCCCATCTGTACCCTTGTATGCCACTTAGTTACCTTGATCCCTGCCTTCCTTGTCCTTGGCCATAAATATCATTCTGCACTTAAAGACTGCCCTACACAAGAGTCCCTTACCCAGCTGAGGAGATGGTAGTCTTGTGCCCTGCCCTCACTGGAGTGGATATTCTGGCTCGCTGTTTCTCACACCAGTATGCTTTATGGTTGGATTTTGCTTCCACAGCCAAAGCATGCCCTGATTGGTCACTACCAGGTTCTTCATCAGACTGGCTTGGGTGTTACAAGGTGTTAGAGTCTTTTCAATGAGCTCATATGGTTCTTCACAGTTGACCTTAGGCCAGAGAAATTGGGGGTGATTAATGGAGTAGGAGCTGCATGTCCTCCAAAGATGACCGGCTTCATTCATGCTCAGACTGAGTGTTGTGGAGAACAAACAAGTCTTTATAACTTTCGATCTTAGAGCCATGTGATTTTACAGTGCCTTTCTCCTGTCTCAGTGATTACATAGCTTATTAATTAAGTTCCCTGCGCTGAAGAAAGGGCTACAGGGAACTGAGAACGGAGACAGAAGGGACGATTAAAGGGGATCTTTAAGAGAAAGGGAGAAGCAGCCAGCCCAGTGCTTCTGATTGTAGCGTCACCTCCTCCTTATTGTCCCCATGCAGAGCTGCCCAGAAGTTAAATCTGTCATCCAAGAAGAAGAAACACCGGCCTTCAACTCCATCTGCTGCAGAGGCTCCCCTGTTTGCTACCAGCTTCAGCGGGATCCTGCAGACCTCACCTCCCCCAGCCCCACCCTGTCTCCTCAGGGCTGTCAACAAGGTGAAGGACACTCCTGGCATGGGCAAGGTAGGTGCCAACTGCTGCCTCTGCCATCCGTTGTGTGCACAGGGCTCTGGGCAGAAGAGAACAACTGTGTTTGCTAAAATGAGGAGGTATCAGAGATGAAAAGACACAGTGACGGTGGTTTGGAGGTAGCTGTTCACACTTCCTGCAATCTTATTCACCCAGGGTCAACCCCTGACTGAAAATAATCATAGAAAAGTCTAGAAATAAGCAACAAGGAAGCTCAGAATAACTTTTACTTCTGTACTGTACAAAGAAAACTGCCAAGTTTTCTTTGGCCACACAAATTGCTTTAAGTTTTGGATCCAATTTGACTTGGGTGGGGGAGGAAAATGGCTTTGCATTGTTGAGCAGGATCAAGGTCATTTCAAAAACAGAGAGACACACAGCCAGAAGCAGAGGCAGGGGGAAACCAGATACAGATGAAGACACCCCTTTGTTTCCCTGCGTCTCTTATGCGTCCTCCCCTTCACAGAAGTGACTTCTGAACCAGGCCACCGGTGTGAGTTCTGGGGGGTGTTTCAACCCTGACTTTCCAGCCAAGAAATGCAATTTGGAGTTGTTGCAAGGACTTAGAAAGACGCAAGGGAAGTCTGTTACAAGATATTGCTGGGTCACATATATGATAACTTTATTTCTAAATGTCAACTCTTTACTCTTCCTCCCCCAAGATAAATGTCTGGGTGAAGTAATTTACAGCTTTATCTTCAGTGGGGAAATAAGCTGGGACTTATAAAAGCATACAGTTGGAGAGATACAGTGATTGTATTCATTATTTTTGTCAGAGTACAGATGCACACAGAACGTGGGACTTGACTTTGGCCTTGGGTTTTGTTTCAGGAAGTAGCTGGTCATACTGAAGAAGGCAGAGCCGAGCTGTGTAGACCACAATGTTTACTAACTCTTGTCCTCTTGGTACCAACGTTTGGTTATGTCCCGGTTTGTGGTCCCTACAAAATGATCCTGCATCCTGTGCCCAATCTCCTTCATTCTGTATTCTGCTTCTCCTCTTTCCACTGTACACCCCAGCACCACCGTCTCACTGGGCAGCCCTTACTTCGTGATGCTCTTCCCCAGAGTGCATTGATTTTAAGATTAGGTTAGACAGAGCAGTGGTCAGTGTAATAGAAAGTGTGGAATCTGGAATTCTCCACCGCGTTTCTCAGCAGGTAAGTGTCGCCCGAGAGGTTTTCCAGGTCCAGAGGTAAAGACAGACCTTAGGCAACAGTCTGTGGAAGTTTCTCCATCCTCACACTGTGTGGAAGCCAGCAGAGAAAGCAGAATGGCAGAGAAAGCTCTTCCAGGTTGGGTGTATGAGGGTGAAAATCACTCCATGGCAGGCACCCTGGCGACGGTGGCTTTGAGAAGCGCTATTAAGAGCTGTGGGTCTAAGTGACTTCAGGGTTTTCCTTCTTTAATTGTGGTAAATGCACACAGTGCAAGGTGACCCATCACAGACATGTTTAAGTGTGCAAGGACATTTATTTTGTTAACAAGTTGGAGCCGGAATGTCAGAGACACGCCATGGGGCAAGGTAGAGCCCACTGCCACCACTCTCTTGCTTCTCATTAACATCCCTCTCCTCTCGGCTGTGAACATTTACGTGGCATCTCTTACGAAAGGTGCCAGGTGCCTGACCAGCCAGGGAAATCCCACATTCCACTGTGGCCCTATCTGGGACATGTGCAGTAGAACCTACCACAGACGCTGCCTTCATCTCTTACTTTGGCCTGACAAAAGCCTATGTTTCTTTAGGAGGGACTAGGCCTAAGCCTTCTGTCTAAGGCCCCCTGTGACCCTTGTCTATCCCTAAAGTACTCCCTGGAATTCCAAGATCCAGGTGACAGGGCACTAAGGTCAGGGACCAAAACAGTGGAGAAAATTCTTGCAGCCAGCAGTGACCAACACTTGCAGCAAAACAGTATAAGTGTTCAAGAGCGGGGGAATATCTGGATTTCACTGGATGGAGCGTCTACATGTGAGGACGTCCAGTGCACATTCGTCCCTGGTAGTGTGGCTAGCAAATTGTACATTAGCATTTGGCATTAAATGTATTATCCATCCCACTCATTTGCAATTCAGAAATGCAACCAAAGACCTGAGTTTGCCATGGAAATGTCATGGGTATCAGCCTGTGAGTCACAAGAGAGACGGTGTGGCTTCTGTCTGATCAGTGGCCACACAGCAGCTGAGCCCTCCCTCCTCTTGTACTGAGCCCTGGGGAACTGTGTTGGGGAACAGGTGACAGCTGGAGGGACCATGTCCTCTGAGAGGTAGTTGTAGGAATATATTTTCTATGTTAAAACCACAGCGAGGTCCTCTTCCCAGATACCCTTTTACATCTTAATATCTCAAAGAAATTCAGTTGAGTTTAATATAGAGCATAAATAATTGATGCTACTTATATTTTTAAAATAGATGAACTTGGCAGAATTGCCTAAAACCACTTCATGTTCTAAGCCTCAACCTTGGGTCTCTGGGATGCCATATTAAGATCTTCAGCTCTCAGAACAGCTCCTGGCACATAGCAAGTGTTTCTTTTGTACCTACTGTGTGTCAGGTGCTACACTTATTAACACCTTATGCCTTCTTCCAGGCAGTCAATGAAACAGCACTGATTCAAGCCAATATGAGGGACTCTGACTCACAGGGAAGTCAGAGTTACTGGTTTAACATGACTAAATGTACAAAGAACTAACTACCAGTAACTGGCTTTGTAACGACATTCTTTTTTGTTGTTGTTGTTGTTTTGTTTTTGTTTTTTATTTAAACAGCTTGTTTGCTCTTTTTTTAATTATTATTTTTTTAATTTAGGTTAGAAACAACAAGTAATTAATGGATCAAAGCAGCTTAGCCTCCATTTATATCTCATTGATTTGGCTTATATGTAAATGATACTTGTAATCTGTTTAAAAATTGTTTCTTCTCTCCTAAGTCAGCAAACTCTCTCTGTGAAATCTGTTTGTACAGTTAATTAGCAGGCATGTTTAAGGTTCATTTGTTAGTGTGTCACAGTGTAGTAACGTCAGAGCTCTTCATCTGGGGTCCCAAGGTTCCAGAGAAAAGTCTGTTATCTGTATAATCCCTAGGTTTTCTGGCTCCACAGACACATTTAAAGGCAAGGACAGCAATGGCCACTGTCATTCTTGATTGGTGACAGTCCACCTGGTGTTTAGGTGACTCTTCCCTTCCTAGGTGACTAACTGAAAGGGGAAGATGAGATTTCTTTTCCCTCACAACCCCCAGGAATGTCTCCAAAAAGTGACAGTCTGTGGTTTTAACACCTAGCGTGTCTCCATCCCCCAATACGTTTTGCGAATATTGGGAACTTCCTGTAGTGAATTCCAGAAGCAAGGGTTTGAAAGGATTTTGAAGAAACTGGGTGATGCACACTTGAGGGGCAATTGTGGGAAACACCTGGGTACAGATGGGGGAGTCGGGGGTGGGGGCCTTACCCTGCTGGACTCACCCAGCAAGTGTCTGTGGAGACTTCCTGTTTCTGGGTTCCACAATATGGCCACTGATGGAGGCGGGGCATGGAAAAGGAAGGTAATGCCCATCTCAAGGTAGGCACTTTGACAAGGCAGAGTAGTACGCAGCCTCAGCCTCCATGCCCATGTCCTTCTGTGCCCACCTAGTCTAGTTTGGTCAGATTTAGGCTGTATAGTGTTCATTAAGGGTGAATGTCCATCGCCACTCACTGTCATCCTGCAGGGCCTGCCTTACTGAGAACCTTCCTCTCTGAGCAGTGCCACCCAAACTCTGGCAATTTGGTGGAGATGTGGAAATATGAGATTCCCAGGGCAACAAAGACTGGAGTCCATACTCTTTCTCCATCACCAAACCCAGTGAGGGCTCACCCTGTCCTCTGACAGCACTACACACACACACACACACACACACACACACACACACACACACACACACACACTATGTCACCAGGTCTTCTGTTGACTCTGTTTAGTTTCAACTCTGAGCTTTTCTTTGTTTTGTGTGCAAACTAATAGCATAGAGAAGGAAGAACTGCCACCATGCATGTGTTTGTTAGAACTCTGGTCCTTGGTGCTTTTATTGACATCTTTAAGGCAGAAGCCCTTCAATTACGAAACCTTTGTGACACTCTTTAGAAGAAATGATTCCTTACCAGTTGATGTTCTGATTACAATGAGAAGACCGCAATAAGATTTACTTAAATTAAAGTAAGACTTTCTCAAAAGTGCTAATGTAGCTACTATTCATTTATTTAACAAGGAAAAATGGCAAGTGCAGCTTTGGGAAGTGATTTCAGGTCGTATCAAGGAGAAAAATCTCCTGCCTTCCAGCCCAAGAAGGTCCAGGTCATTTAAACACATGCAAATTATCCCATTCCTCATTTCCATGCCTGCCCTTCCCCCATCCTAAAGCTTTTATCAGGGAGAAGAGGGAAGATTTGAGCCCATCTTTAAAATTCATTTCAAGTACATGTGAAATAAAAAATTCAGATAGGATGGAAGATTCTGGCTCCCAGCAGTCACTCACAGTCACTGCTCCATCTTAAGTACGAATGACAGGAAAAGTGATATTGCTCCTATTTTTGGTGTACGGTTGAGGTAGGCCTGGCTGCATAAATAATGCAGATTCATCACTATGGCTCTCCTGATAGCTTTTATAAATTAAATTGTTAGCTCTTCCTGGAAATAAACCCATGTGGCCTTCCACTCCCTAATTGCAATTATGCTTTCCCATGTTAAGTTGATTTTGGTTGATTCCACTGAATACACGTAGTTATGATTGGTTGGTTGGGTTTTTTTTTCTTCTCCAAATTCTCTCTGCCTCTATGAGTTTGATCCTTTCTTCAACCCACCTCCAGAGGAAGGAGATGTGGAAAAGTTGTTATGACTCTTTAACCTTTGCAGGATGTTTTTTCTCGCTCCATGATGTGCCAACCGCAGGGCTGCACAGGTGTGGTGTCACTGAGCCCTGGTAGGAGCCCAGAGCCCAGGAACTCACTTTCAGGGAACACG